TCGGTTAAACATCCGACTTCGGCTCATGTCATGATCTCGCGGTTCGTGGGTTCGAGCCCCGCGTCGGGCTCTGTGCTGACTGTCAGCTCAGAGCCTGGAGCCTGTTTCAGATTCTGTGTCTCCCTCTCTCTCTGACCCTCCCCCACTCACGCTGTCTCTCTCTCTCTCTCAGAAATAAATAAAACGTTAAAAATTTTTTTTAATTAAAAAAAGTCAATTGCCATCAAAAGATAGAGAAACATAGAAACAGCCGACGATTGAAGTCGAATGTCTGAAGGCTTTCACAGGACATGTTTAACAGAGCGGCCCGAGGACGGGCTGCGTGAAGACTACATTTATCCAGGCTGCTCCGCGAGGCTCTCAATGGTTATCAGAACGTGTCAGCGTGTGTGGTGGAAAGAACATCTGGAAAAGACTTTCTTGCCATTTTCAAAAGGTAGGAACCTTATAATATAAACTGCTTCTATTTCTTCAGGACCGACCCCTCCCTCCCCAACTCGTTCAGGGACTGACCTCGAACAATAGAGGCATCTCTCAGGCCTTACTTAGGTTTGTTGGAAAAGCATCCTTTATACAGTAAAGCTGTTGTCAAACAATGTTGTAATCTAGACACCTCTCCCCAAAAACAGACGTTAAATTGTGCAAGAGGTTTACATTCCAGGGTGGTTTCCTGCTAGATCTCAAAACCATTTTCTTTTCTTTTTCTTTTTCTTTTTTAAAGTTTATTTCTTTATTTTTTGAGAGAGAGACAGAGACCGAACATGAGCGGGGGAGGGGCAGAGAGAGAGGGAGACCCAGAATCCGAAGCAGCTCCAGGCTCCAAGCTGTCAGCACAGAGCCCGATGCAGGGCTCGAACTCACTGACCGTGAGATCATGACCTGAGCTGAAGCGGGACACTTAATGACTGAGCGCCCCCGGGGCCCCCAATCCATTTTATAAGCATTCGAAAATGCAGAGCCGAGGAAAGTCCCTCATACGCAGGTTTTGCCAAGGCCCCTCTCTTAGCAACGTCAAGGGCAAGAAATCTCCTGGCTTCTCTTGAAGACACACCACTTTTTATTTTTTTTACATCCTTCGGTGCCGTGTAACCCAAAACTGACCTCCAGGACTGTGTTATACCTGTGGATTCTTCACTGGCTCTGGGAGCTGGAGGAGCCTGTCCCGATGCCGGAAAAGAAAGCCACGCCTGCCCTCTTGTGGGGACGACTGACCTTGCTCCTGCACAGAAACACAGGGCACTAACCATGCCCGTGAGCACATCAGTTTCTCCCTTTATCCGGGTGTCTGGTGAAGTCCGGGCACATAACTGAATCAAAGCCGAGCAGCTTATTGAGTCCCACGTAGTGTCTCATCCACGAGTGGTGCAAGCAAAATCCTGCAAATTCCCTACAAACGACCGCTGGAGAGCTGTTGGTGGAGTTTAGATACACGCTTCTTGTGTTCTTTTTAAAGCAACAAAAATTTAGTTGTAGTAAAATACCTAAGACCTCTACTCTGTTAACCATTTTATTTTTCTCTCTTAACCATTTAAAAAAAGAGTTTATTTTGAGAGAGAGAGAGCAAGCATGGGAGGGGCAGAGAGAGGGGAAGAGAGAGACTCCTAAGCAGGATCCACAAGGTTAGTGCAGAGCCCGACGTGGGGCTCGAACTCACAAACTGTAAGATCATGACCTGAGCCGAAATCAAGAGTTGGACGCTTAACTGACTAAGCCACCCAGGTGCCCCTCTCAAGCATTTTTAAGTGTACAGAGGGGGAGTGGGCCCCCAAGAAGGCAGAACAGCATGGAAGATTTTTGTTTTTTTGTGGCTCTTGTCCCTGAAATGCAGCCGAATCAACACCAAACCATCTTGCCCACCATTTTTTAAAAAAAGATTTTATTTATTTCTGAGAGAGAGAGAGAGGCAGCATGAGCAGGGGAGAGTCAGAGAGAGGGAGACACAGAATCCGAAGCAGGCTCCAGGCTCTGAGCTGGTTGTCAGCACAGAGCCCAATGCGGGGCTTGAACCCACGAACCGTGAGGTCGTGACCTGAGCCGAAGTCAGACGCTCAACCGACTGAGCCACCCAGGTGCCCCATTGCCCACCATTTTTAAGAGTACAGCTTGGGTGTGTTGAGTATGTTTACACTGCGGTGCAATGAATTTCCGGAACTCTGATTATTATTTTGCAAAAGTGAAACCCTGTCCCACTAAACACCAAGTCCCCATTCCCTACCCCAACCCCTGGCAACTGCCACCCGACTTTCTGCGTCTGTGAGTTGGGCGACTCTAGTACCAGCCACGATGGTATTTGGCCTTTCTGTCTGGCTGAGCTCACTGAGCAAATATCCTCAAGGTTCGTCCATGTTGTAGCCTGTGTTGAAATGTCCTTCTTAAGGCTGAATTCTATTCTACGGTACGGATAGAGCGCATTCTATCTACCCATTCACCCACCGACTGCCATTTAGGTTGTTTCCATCTTTTGGCTTTTGTGAAAAATAGTGCTGCGGACGTGGGTATACTCCTATCTCTGAGACCCTGCTTTCAATTCTTTTGGGTATATAACCAATGTATTGGCTCATGGGGTACTTTTATTTTTTTTTAATGTTTATTTATTTTTATTTTGAAAGAGGGATACTGTAAATTACTTACAAGAGACTCAAGTTTTTGATGGGTTTAGATACATACAGGTCATGCACTTTCAAACATGTTTCTTGTGTGTTTTTAAAGCAAAAAATTTAATTGTAGTAAAATATATAATAAGAATTTACTCTCTTAACCATGTTTCAACCACTTATTTATTTTGAAAGCGAGAGCATGGGAAGGAGAGAGAGGGGGGAGAGAGAAAGAGAGAGAATCCTAAACAGGCTCTACACTATCAGCGCAGAACCCGACACGGGGCTCAATCCCATGAACCCATGAGAGCATGACCTGAGCCAAAACCAAGAGTCAGACACTTAACTGACTGAGCCACCCGGGCGCCCCTCATAACTCTATTTTTAATTTGAGGGCCCTCCATACTGTTCTCCAGAGCGGCTGCACCAGTTTGCAGCCCCACCAACAGTGCACAAGCTTCCAAGTTCTCCACATCCTCACCAGGCAGAGAGGCCATTTTTAAGAACCACCATTCACAGAAACAAAGATAGCAATTTTGGGGCGCCTGGGGGGCTCAGTCGGTTAAGCGTCCGGCTTTGGCTCAGGTCATGATCTCACAGTTCGTGGGTTCGAGCCCCGCATTGGGCTCTGTGCTGACAGCTCGGAGCCTGGAGCCTGTTTCAGATTCTGTGTCTCCCTCTCTCTCTGCCCCTCCCCTGTTCACGCTGTCCCTCTCTCTCAGAAATAAATAAAACATTAAAAAAAAAAAATTAACAAAGATAGCAATTTTGAGTCGTTTTATTGAGTTACAAAAAACATCTTTAAACAAAGACAAAGTAAGTGTTACAAGAGTTTAAACAGTCACAGTGATGGCAAGAGACAGTAAGATTTAAGTCTTATTATGTGAACTCAATTATTTTGCTGTCGTGGAAAGATTTCAATGCCCTTTCAGCTGGAAAGTGCTTCTACGTTCACGTGACGCAGGGCTCTGGATGTAGAAGAGCAGACCAGCATCTTAAGAATTTGAATTTAGTTACCCGACAGGACGAGTTGCTTACGCAATGTACCCGGGTGTCAAATCATCACGATGCACATTCTTAGTATCTCCCAATTTTGTCTGTCAATTATATCTCAGCAAAGCCAAAAACACGGAATTTGGGACTTATATCAACGATGTTAAACTAAGGGGAGAACTTCCGAGCAAAAACAGCTGCTGAGCTAAGAAGAAAAGTATGAAGAATATATCAGTATAAAGGTGGACGTTAGCTACTTTTAGGTACTAGAGGCATTTCGCACAACGCTTGAAGTTGGGAAAAGCCTCTTCAACTGGGGAAAGAGAAGCAGTCCCCCCCATTACAGGGCACACAAAGTACAAATTCTTTACGAGTACACATTTCGTTGTGAGTACACATTTCATTGTTTTCTTCTCACTCTGCTAATTACTTAAAACCTATAAACAAAGTAGTTTTAGTGAAACGAAAGGGTGACGAACTGATATACTGGGGAGTGACAGTGGAATGTCCAAAGGGAAATTTCATACCTGCTAAAAAAACATAATTTAGGAAGAATACAAACTCTAAAACTGAACCTTGCTCAGACACCAAACTAAAATAATTACGCATTACCATCTAATCTAGAGGTTTCCATTTTCGACTCCGTTGTTTTTAAAATATTAAGATCTTTCTTGTTGAATTTAGAACAAATTAAAAGTATTATGGTGTCTTGAAGTTTTATGGGAAAATTCATTTGTATTTTTAAAAGTGATATAAAATTAGTTTTTTAGGTTTAAAAAAATCATATTAGAAATATAATGGTGAGGGGCGCCTGAGGGGCTCAGTCAGTTAAGCGTCCACTTCAGCTCAGGCCTTGATCTCACGGTTTATGGGTTTAAGCCTTGTGTTGGGCTCTGTGCTGACAGCTCGGAGCCTGGAGCTGCTTCGGATTCTGTGTCTCCCTCTCTCTCTGCCCCTCCCCTACTCGCACTCTGTCTCTGTCTCTGTTTCTCTCTCTCAAAAATAAATAAAAACTTAAAAAAAAAAGATATCTAAAGATATCTAAAGATATCCAGCTTTGGCTGTTTGCTGAAGCACCAAACAGCCTGAGTCCGACAACTGCAGTAACTGTTATGGCCCCAGATCACTGCCCGTTCATCGCAGGTCACCTTTACCAGGATCAAGTGAAGGAATTCATAGGCTTGAGGTTTTATCCTCCAATTCAAGAGTGGGACCTTTCATAGAATACCTGCGAGGTTTTTTGTTTTTAAATATCCAGTCAAAAAAAAAAATAGGCAAATAATTCTGGGCACTAATCTCAAACTTTGGAAACCCTGAGACCACCCATTGTCATGAACTTGTTTCAAAGAAGATGCTCTAAAATTCTAACTTGTTGAAGAATTAAGTGTAACAGACGCACACCGGAAATCTCTCTCACTTATCCATCATCTGGAGGATCATCTCACAGCTCATGTCTTCGTTCAGGTCCTCGCTTCCGGCCGCGCCGCCTCCGTAGCCGACTGGCACCGTCTCTCCCGGGAACTCCTCCACCATCGAAGCACAGGCCTCCCTCGTGGCGTCTTCTTGGGGGGAAAAGGCAGAGTTTTGGCCATTTTAAAACAAAGTCAACAAAACCAGTGCGTTTACATTTTGGAAACAATCCTTTGATTCATACCTGGCAAACACTTTAGAAGATGGTTTTTTCCATTTATAAGACAGTACAAGGGGCTCCTCAGTGGCTCAGTCAGTTGAGTGTCTAACTTTGGCTCAGGTCATGATCTCACACTTCCTGAGTTCGAGCCCCACATCAGACTCTGGGCTGACGACTCAGAGCCTGGAGCCTGCTTGGGATCCTGGGTCTCTCTCTCTCTCTGCCCCTCCTCCACCCATGTTCTGTCTCTCAAAAAATAATAAACATTTAAAAAAATTAAAAGAAAAAAGACAGTACAAGAATTCTGATGGGATCTATGTGCGTGAAGTCAGGGGTTTCTGGACCTCAGTCCTCTATGCTTTTCGGGCTGGATAAATTCTCCACTGGGCGCTGTCCTGTGCCTTGTGCAGTGTTTGGGGCACCGTCGGCCTCTCTGTACCTTCCGGATGCCGGCGAATGGGCCTCCTCATTTGAGACCACAGAAAACGTTCCCGGGCATCGCCGTGCGTCTGTTGGAAAGCACAACCGCTCCCGCCTGGGAGCCGCTGCTCTACACTGAATGCAGATCCTAGAGACCCAGAGAGTGGCTGAGCCCCTCCCCCGTCTTGTCTCAGGGCCGGTGGAATGACACCACCAAAAGGGCTCTCGTCCCTGCGGCCGGAGGACTCGGGCAGAGTGCGCTGGGGCGCATGCACTGCGCTCGGTGCACACTGTGAGCAGCACCCGGATCCATAACCGACCCGCCCGCCCGCCTGCAGCTGCTAGTCGGCCCCACAGTGGGAGCTTAAAAATAGAAGCATCTTCGTCCTCTCCCCATTTCCCAGATTACTTCCCAAGAACACCCACCGAGTGGCAGACAAACAGCCCACACTTACAAAGGCTTTACCTCCTGCCCGGTTCAAGGTCGTTCGAAGATATGTTTCTTTGTGGGTTTTTTGGTGGAAGTGTAGGGAGAGCATGAAGACCCAGTTCTTACGATGCAAAGGAACTGTCACTTGTAAAGACCTTCCCTGAGCAGCCAGGTGATCTACCGCTGACCCACTAGCACAGCGGAGTAGAAGCCAGAACATGATCCGGATAACACAGGCTCAAAACCCTTGACGTGCAAACGAAGTCGTATTTTTTTGCCAACACACGTTGGGTTACTTGTTTGGATTCATGCTGTGCTTAGGATACAACAGCTGACCATCCAAAACACGAGGGGCGCCTCAGGGGCTCAGTTTGTTAAGCGTCTGACTTTGGGTCAGGTCATGATCTCACGGTTCGTGGGTTCAAGCCCCACGTGGAGCCTGCTTCAGATTCTGTGTCTCCCTCTGTCTCTGACCCTCCCCCGCTCATGGTCATCTCTCTCTCTTAAAAATAAACATTAAAAATAAAAAAGAAATGTTTCCATACATCCGGTCTTATTGCTGTCAGAGTTTAAACCCGTAAGGGGGTTCCTGTCTCTGCCCTTCTGGAAGGTAAGGGTGCCGGGCAGGTAGCATTCCCAGTGCCCCTCATGACCTGGTCCAGGCAACGCTCCAGAGTCAGACCCCAGCCTGAGCCCCAGCTGAGGTCGCAGGTGGAGATGGAGACCCACTTTTCACCCCTTTGATTTCGCTCTTCATTTATTTCAGAGCCAGTGTCCAGGAGGCCCAGGGTCAACGCCGGCAGGGACAGTCGCGCGGCCGCGGGGGCTGTGGCCAACACGGAGGCTGTTACGCCCTGACTCTGCCCCATCGCAAACAGGTCACCGACCACGGGCGACAGTTTCAAAACCTTTAGTCCATCCCCAATTACTCGGTCTCCTAGGGAAGGTTTATTCAGCTGAAATTTGGCCAAAGGCTTTTTAAAGACTTTGTTTACCATGTAATTAAAAAAACAATGCATTTAGGTATCAAGAAGGAGCCAGTAGGTGCCGAGTTAGCCGGGAAGCCACATGGGCACACGGACACGTTAGGGTCCGTCCCCGGGGAGCGCCAGGATCCTGGAAGCCCGGCCTCTGCTCCGGCTTCTGGGGCTGGAAGATCTGAGCTGGGTGTCACCCGCTCGTCTTCTCCAGTAAAGGGCTGTGCTCGTTATTTGCTCGTTAAGTGGGAATGAACGAGCCCTGCTGACGCCAGGCCTGGTGTGGACGCGAGGGCCAGGCCCGCCCTGGAGGGGAGCTCCGTGCCGGTGGGAGAGGACACTCACTAGAGAGTCAGACAAATGTGAGACGAGCACCCGGCGGGGGCGCCCGAAGTAGGGGCACAGGCCGGGGGTGCACGTGAGGCCGAGGTGGTCAGAGCCCAGACCCACGGGCGAGTTACCAGGAATTCTGGGCAAAGGAGAGGGTGCTTCTGGCCTGGCTGGGATGCGGGGACCAGTACAGCTGCCCGAGAGGGCGGGATGCGGCTGGCACGGCCGAGGCCCCAGTCTTCAGAGCGCTGGGTGCACAGGGAAGGGGTTCAGGTGGAGGGCAGTGAGGACGGGGGGAGGTGCTGAGACAGGG